CTGCAGCCTTCCCTTCCCATAGCTAGTCCTTCACCCAAAATACTCAAACAACAAGCCAGGTTCTAAAACACTTAAATATTTAAAATGGTTGCATAAATTTTATTTCTCTTCATTGGGAAAGGTGAGGAGAAACTACGGAAAAGTCCCTCCCCATAGTGCAGTTCAGCCCAGGTTGAGCTCATGCCAGAAATACACTCTAGAATCCCTTTACATATAGTTCAACTTACTGTATCTTTTAACGATCCAAATGATCAGTACTAAGGCCCTTCGATTCCCAAGACTTCTTTGAAAAATCTGTTTCTACGCCGCCACAACTTTTCAAATCCCTCTTTTCCCTTTTTTCCTTTTTTTCTAATGATAGTAACAATTTTCAAATAAATTATAGTGAGTGGACTACTAAAGTCCCCATTATTGTGTAGCTATCTCATTTCTTAGTTCTACTAGTAATTGTTCTATAATTTGGAAGCTCCAGTGTTAGGTGTATATAGATTTAAAATTGGGGTATTTTCCTGTTGGACAAGTCCTTTTACCATTATATAATGACCCTCTTTGTCTTCCTGCTGTTGCTTTCAAATTTATTTTGTCTGAGAATAGCTACTCCTGCTCATTTTTGGTGTCCATTTGCATGGAATATCTTTTTCTACCCCTTTACCTTAAGTTTACATGAGTCATTATGTGCTAGGTGAGTCTCTTGAAGACAGCAGATACCTGGTTGGTGAATTCTTATCCATTCTGTCATTCTGTATCTTTTAAGTGGAGCATTTAGGCCATTTACATTCAACATTAGTATTGAGATATGAAGTATTGTTCTATTCATTATGCTATTTGTTGCCTGAATACCTTGTTTTTTTAAAAAAAAAATTATTGTATTTTTGTTTTGTAGGTAGGTCCTGTGAAATTTATGCTTTCAGGAGGTTCTATTTTGGTATATTTCATGGATTTGTTTCAAGATTAGAGTGAACTGGCAACCAACAGAACGGGAAAAAATTTTTTGCAATCTGCATCTGACAAAGGGCTAATATCCAGAATCTACAAAGAACTAAAACAGATTTACAAGAAAAAAACACAAATAAACCCATTCAAAGGTGGGCAAAGGACATGAACAGACACTTTTCAAAAGAAGGCATACATGAGGCCAACAAACATGAAAAAATGCTCTTCATCACTGGTCATTAGAGAAATGCAATTCAAAACCACACTGAGATACCATCTCACGCCAGTTAGAATGGTGATCATTAAAGAATCTGGAGACAATAGATGTTGGAGAGGATGTGGAGAAATAGGGACACTTTTACACTGTTAGTGTGAGTGTAAATTAGTTCAGCCATTGTGGAAGACAGTGTGGTGATTCCTCAAGGACCTAGAAATAGAAATTCCATTTGACCCAGCAATCCCATTACTGGGTATATATCCAAAGGATTATAAATCGTTCTATTATAAGGATACATGCATATGTATGTTCATTGCAGCACTGTTTACAATAGCAAAGACCTGGAACCAACCCAAATGCCCATCAATGATAGACTGGACAAGGAAAACGTGGCACATATATACCATGGAATACTATGCAGCCGTAAAAAATGATGAGTTTGTGTCCTTTGTAGGGACATGGATAAATCTGGAAACCATCATTCTCAGCAAACTGACACAAGAACAGAAAATCAAACACCACATGTTCTCACTCACAGGCGGGTGTTGAACAATGAGAACACATGGAAACAGGGAGGGGAGCATCACACACTGGGGTCTGTTGGTGGGAGGAATAGGAGAGGAACAGTGAGGGGTAGGGAGTTGGGGAAGGATAACATGGGGAGGAATGCCAGATATAGGTGACAAGGGGATGGAGGCAGCAAACCACATTGCCAGGTATGTACCTATGCAACAATCATGCATGTTCTGCACATGTACCCCAGAACCTAAAGTGCAATAAAATATATATTTTTTTAAAAATTAAAAAATAAAATTATTACAATTAAAAGAAAAGTCATATAGAAGCTAATTCACAAATAATAAATTTTGTTTAAAGATAAACTACGGTTAGAAAAGTGATGACAACAGTACTATTTTATATAAGTAGGATAATGAGATGTAAACTACCCAGCATCCAGCCCAGTGCCTGAATGCAACCAACTAGCAGTTCGTTAATTCACCACGTTCCCACATTTATATACAGATATTTGTACTAAGCATTGGAAACATTCTAAAGGAAACAGCATTTAGTTTTACTTTCCTTGCAGGAAAATATCAAATACAAAAGGATGCTGTTGAAAAATTACACAAAACATGTTAGACTTAAGTAGTGGGTTTACTGCTTAAGTCTAACATGTTTTGTTGTAATTTCTTAACAGCAACAGCTTTCAAGGGATAGTTTTAAAAGCACAAATAGTTATACTTCAGTAACCCTCTTCAAATGGGAGTATCTTACAACTTTCAAGGAATAGATGGTTTTAAAAGCACAAATAGTTTTAAGACCTACGTAGTTTAATGGAATTGATTTCTGGATGCTAAATTTGCTAATGATCTCCTTCCGTAAAAATGTGAGGGGTAGAAATTTCCACTTCAAAGCAAATAATCAAGGATTTAAGATTTCTGACTTTTAATGGAAAATTTGTTCATGTATTTATTAAAAATTTATGTTGATGGAGATGAAACAGTTAAATGTTCTAATGACTATATTAGAAAAAGCCGTAAGTTTTATTTTTAAACATCAATATTCACAATCTCCTCAAGATACTGTGAAAATATATTTTGCAATTAAATAGCTGTCAACATAAAATGTGCTAAGGATTAGATATTTCTTGACACTCTTAGGGAGATACTGAGCGAAAAAATTTGAAAGGCGCTATACCAAATTATGTCAAAGTTTTATTAACCTCTAATATTCTAACGCCAAGCTTCTAAATAAGAAAATATGTTAAGTTCTGGGCTATCTGAGGTGACAGAAAAGCTAGACTAATTAAAGCGGCCTTTGTAGAAATGGTGAGATTTGAGAAGGGTTTTAGGAATAGATACTGGGGATCTTGAAGGACTTCAGAAAAGATAAGTAAGCCTGAGTGGGAGGTGGGGGCCAGTAAGCATGCAGTTGCTGACAAGAGAGGGACAGTGATGTGCCCAGGTGGAGAAGGAAACGGTTTTCAGGTGGCAAGACACTTGAGTTCAAATTTAGGTTTTACTACTTTTTGGCTGAATCACTTTGAATAAATCTTAAGCTTATTTTGAAGATCAAATGAGAGGAAAGACAGGAAAGAAAGGGTTTTTTAAATTGTAAAGTTACAGCCGGGTGCAGTGGCTCACACCGGTAGTCCCAGCACTTTGGGAGGCCGAGGCAGGGGGATCATTTTTGGTCAGGAGTTTGAGACCAGTCTTACCAACATGGGAAAACCCCGTCTCTACAAAAAAATACAAAAATTAACCAGTCGTGGTGGCCTATGCCTGCAATCCCGGCTACTCGGGAGGCTGTGGCAGGAGAATTGCTTAAGCCAAGAATCGCAATGAACCAAGATTGCTCCACTGCACTCCAGCCTGGGTGACAGCGAGAGACTCTGTCTCAAAGAATAAAATAAATACATTGTAAAGTTATAGTACACATTAGTCATTAAGCCCTTTCCAATTGGGAGCCACTGAACAGCAGCAGTTTGCATAACGGTCAAAAGCATGAGCTCTGGAACAACAGACTAGTTGGAAACAAAACTCCTTTCCCAAAGGTATGATCTTTGCCAGGTTAACAAAGTAATGAAACCTCTCTATGTCCTGCCAGCATTATGCAAAAAATGGAGATAACAGGGATCCACTCTACAGGGTTATTACCAGGATGAAGTGAGTTAATGCATGGAAAGAGCTTAAAAAAAAAAATAGTGCTCAAAATAGTTGCTTTATTGTGGTTGGTGGTGGTATTGTTTAAATTTAAATGTTATTACTCTGATTCTCAAATTGAGATCAAGAGATTATCACCAGTAAATATTTGTTGAAAGAAGTCTTTCAAAAAAAGTGATAGGAGGGGCAGCCAAGTCTATTGAAGAGCTTTTATAATAAAAGTCACTAACATGGCCATGAGTTTTACAGAAAGTGTGTGTGTCAATGGTCCAGTGAATTTCACTGCTGTCATAAATAACAAAGTAACATGGATCTTTTTCTCTTACTTAAAGGCCAAAAAGCAAAAGGATCTATTGCATTTTGTTCTACAAGAATATTTTGTGATATAGTCAGTAGGACTGTATTTGTTCTTTAAGAGAACACAATTTATTAGAAATAATTTTTCCATATGTGGTGCCACATGCCACTTTGATCTTACTGAAAGGAGTTCTGACACCCAGCACTAACACAGCTTATTTTAAAGCACCCTTATCCATTATTAACATACCAAGCATAGAACCAAAGACAGTAGAAAGACATAGCTCTTTGAATTTTGATTGTTATAGTCTGTAGTCATTTTAAAACTGTTTCTGGAATATTTTTGAAATTACAGGGGTATTTCATAATTCATCATGTAAGCTCTTTTCAATAAACACATTATTTATATGTATTACAGATACATACTAAAATATGCCCATTAATTAACAAATATGTATTGGGCATTTATTTATTGAAAGGAGAATAAATATATTTTCTTTTCAAAACAAAAGATTGGCATTCTATCCCACACCTGACTTTTCACACCATATTCAAAACAAACTGCATAGTTTTCCAGAAATTATTTTAGAAGTTTTAACTTGAAGTTAGCTTTCACAAATTTTGGCTAAAATCTGGACCAACAATGCAAAAATACAAAGGTCGGAAATGTGTATTTTGAGAAAAGCATTTAAAAGGCTAAGTTTTAACGTTTAAAAAAGAGTTCAGGTTACTGTAACTAATGGGAAATGTGCCAGACTGTACTGCTTTCTAACTTTATGTAAGCAATCTAAATGGGTTAAAATTCAGGATATATTCAATATTATGAGATTTTGCTGACAAATAGTATGTATTAAGAAGCAACGATCAGCGTTAGAAATTTTAAAACTTACAAGTATGTCTGGCCAGCGAGTAGTTGGATCCACCACTAGTCAACCCAAATCCCTCAGGAATTTGGCTAGAGCTTCGAGGTCTGGTCAATAGCTTAGGAGGTTCAATTTCAGCACCAAATTCAGCTCCTATTACTCCAAGTAAAACAATAGCAGTAGCTTGCTTTCGTCTTTCCTCATAAGATGTAGAAATTTTTTTCATTTGTGGGACACTTGATAAGCAACCTGAAAACCAAAACACAGAATCTCAATTTAAAACAAATCAATAGAAAAAAGACGTATGATTAGAAAAACATTCAATATTGCATATTCCAGAAAGAACAGTATTTCCAACAAATGGCACTAGGAGAAGTGGTTACAAAAGAATGAATTTAGGTAGACCCCATCTTTCAACATGCAAAAAAAAAAACAAAAACAAAAAACCCTGAAAATTGATCATAGTCCTAAATATAAGAGCTAAAACAAAAGAACTCTAAGAAGACAACATAGGTGTATATGTTTGTAATTTGGAGCTATATAATGATTTCTCAGATATGATATCAAAAGCATGAGTAATTTTTAAAAAATTTTACATAGGATTTCATCAATATTAAAAACTTTTGTGCTTGAAAAGATGAATCAAGAAAGGATAAAGACAATCCACAGACTCAGAGAAACTCTTTATCAAAGCGTGTATCTAATAAAAATTATCTCCAGAATATATAAAAATTCTTATGACTCAATAGAACAATCTGAATAGATACTTTTCCACAGTTGTATGAATGGTCAATATGCACATGAAAAGGTGCTAAATATCATCAGTCATTTGGAAAATGCAACGCAAAACCACAATGAGATACCACTTCACATCCACTACAATGGCTGCAATGAAAAAGACCATCGCAGTGCTGTTGAGGATGCACAGAAATGGAAACCCTCATGCCTTGTTGGGGGGCATGATAAAAATGGCACAACTACTTTGGAAAAAAGTTTGGCAGATCCTCAACAAGTCTGACATAGAGTTACCATGTGGCCCAGCAATTCCACTCCAAGATAACTCCCAAAGAGAAATGACACACATGTACACACGAAGACTTGTACACGGATGCTCTTAGCAGCATTCTTTAAAGTAGGCTTGGAAGCAACTTAAATGTCCATTAACTGAATCATAAGGAAAACATTAGGTTGGTGCAAAAGTAATCACAGTTTTTGCCACAAATCGTGATTACAGTACTTTTGTACCAACCTAAGCATATCCATTCAAAATTAGATTACTCAGCAATAAAAAGGAATGAAGTACTGATACATGCCACATGAATGACATTGAAAACACTATGCTAAGAGGAAGAAGCTGGTCACAAAGGACCGGATATTGTATGATTCCATTTATATGAAATGTTTACAATAGGCAAATCCACAGAGACAGAAAGCAGACTAGTGGAGTGGGGTAAAATGGTTAAGAATCACTAATTAGTACTAGTTTTTGGGGGCAATGAAAATGTTCTAAGATTAGATTGAGGTAGAATCTGCACAACCCCAAATATGCTAGGAATCACTGAATTCAACATTTGAAAAGGATGACTTTTATAGAACATAAATCTTACCTCAATACATTTTTTTTAGAAAGATTGCTCATTAATTTATTAAGTTGTCCATTAATTGAACAAATATTTATTAGGCATCCACTTTGGATCAGAAAATTACAAAGCATGAAAATAGCCGAGGTTTCTAAGAATCTCACAAATGCATGAAAAAAAGAGAACATCTTGGATTTAAGACTTAAAGGATAAGTCTTCCAGCCAATAAGAGGGATGGGCCATACAAGGAGGAGAAGGATGATTATTACATCCAGTATGGGTTGGGATGCAAAACAGCAATCAGATATTTGAAGAAATACTTGTTACTGGAGCAAAGTTCGGCATAGTCTCACATTCAGAAGAAAGAGCAGAAGGATATGCAAAAATATTTTTAAAATTTTTGTATCTTTACTAGGATACCAATAAATAATAGGAAATTAACATTCCTTTTTTTATATAAACATAAATGTGCATGTGTCTTTATAATAGAATGATTTATAACCCTTTGGGTATATACCTAGTCATGGGATTGCCGGGTCAAATGGTATCTCTGGCTGTATTTGAATTTTCTACAACTATTAATAACAGAAACAAGACTAGTACTGTGTAAAGGAGCAATGTCAATCTTTTTTTTAACAAAAAGAAAAAAAAAAGAAAGAAAGAGAGAAAGAAAAAAGAAAAAGAAAAGAATGAAGGAGAGGAAGAAAGAGGAAGAGGGAGAGAGAATGGAAGTGTTTTATTGCCCAGGCTAGAATGCAGTCTAAAAATGGGTATTGAAAACCTCCTTTATACCAATAATTGTGCTTAATGATGGAGACAGGAAAAAAATGAGGGAAGAAAATAACAAACAAGCAGCCAACCAATATTTCATTTAAACCTGTAAGTAGGTGTGACGTGGTGCTGATAAGAGTGTATATTTTGTGTATTTAAAGTGGAGAGTTCTATGAATGTTTATTAAGTTTACTTGTTCCGGATTTGAGTTCAAGTCCTGGATATATAACATATATAACATTCCTAATACATAATATTACTTCTAAAAATTTCCTTTTTCAACCTCGCTCCTGCCACATTCTTTAAGATTTGCACAGTTCTGCCCTTTTTTAGTTCTACTCCACTCTAAAAATAGTCTGCCATTATTTTTTGATATTATGCATTATAAGCATCCACAGAATTGTTAGAAAATATACACAGAAATCATGACAAACATGTATACAACTAACAAACTTTATAAAATACTGTTTTCCAAAGGTTTCCAATTTTAATAAAGTAATTAACTAACCTGGGTATTATCAAAGCCTACCATAGACTGTGTCCTGACCTCACTGCCTTGCCCTCCTGCCCTAAAGGTCACCACAATTCTGACCTTTTCAAATTTTATATCTATTATTTAATCATATCAATGTTACCTGAAATAAATTAATATATTTTCTGGCCTTGAACTATGCTTCCATATCTGGGGTAAACCCTGGATAAACGTATGCATGGATGGGCAGTGACAGATAGATACACCAACAAACACACTGACAGACAGACTCTGAACTAAATTTGCTAATAGGCTTTTTTACATTTATAAGTGAGATTGCTCTATAATTTTCTTTTCATCTTCTATACTTAGTATCAACATAATACAAGCCTCAAAAAATGAGTTAAGTGATGTTCACTCTCTCAGTCCCTGAGGTCCCCCTTCCAACATTCCTTGAATACAGCTGAAGGATTCTTGAAGGTTCATGAAAATTCTCCTCTAAAACTATTAAGAGTCAGCATCTCAGGACACTCCTTATCTAGAGTCAGAGGGTAGGAGATGGTGGCAAAAGTAGCAGGAAGAAGGAAGGAATATTTATTATAAATTTATATTCTTTAATAGCTCCTTATTTAGTTTGACTTTCTTAAATCATTTCCGGCAGATTATAATTTTAAAAGATTTCATCTACATTTTTAAATGTAGTGGTATGAAATTATCTATAGTATTCTCCACATGATTAAAAAAACTCAAGTATACCAGCAGCTATGGATCCTTTAAACATTGTACAATTATATTTTCTATTTTTCATGCTTTTCCCAAAGTTTTCCTGGAAATATATATTTTACCAAATTATTTTTGTGTTTTTTTTTTTTTTTTTTTTTTTTTTTTTTTTTTTNTTTTTTTTTTTTGTAGAGACAGGGTTTCACTATGTTGCCCAAAGTGGTCTCATACTCCTGGCCTCCAGTGATCTTCCTGCTTTCTCTTCCCAAAGTGCTGGGATTACAGGCATGGGCCACTATGCCCAGTCTCAGATTATTTTTTAAAAAATACTTTGGTTTTGATCTTATGTATTATTGCTTTCTTGTTAATTTCTGCTCTTATTTTTATGATTTCTCCTCTACTATCTTTAGATTATCTCTTCTCTCTGTTTTGCTTCTAATTTCTTATGTTGAAGAGCACTCACTTATTTTCACTATTTCATATTATGGTTAACATTGCCAGTCACATACTTAATACATGCATTTTCCTCTTACCAATTTTTTTCTGAGTAGCAATGCACTCACATCTTTTCAAAGTCCTTTCAGGAACTGAGGAAGCCATAGCCTAGCTCCTGGCTTTACATTTTATTCATGATGTATTTTAAGTCCTCTTTAGCTCATAGGAGCCAAAAGCCTGCTTCTGGAAAGCAGCTAATGGTTTCAGCCCAGATCATTACATTTCTATTTCATTACTGGTCCATAGAGACATCTTTTTTGAGTCAGTTATGTCTCTTTGGTTTTCTCTTTGTATATTTTATCCATCATAGCAATGTATTTGGCACAGGAGGATTAAAAAAGTGAACTCCTGGAGCCATCTTGATTGGAGGTCAGCTTCCTGCTTTTTCTAATATTAATCCACCCAGTTTTTCTGGCCACTTTCAGTTCTTTGCTTTATATGTTGATTAAATGAGTACAACAAAGGTCACTCAAAGCTCAGTATGCCAACCAAGAAATTAGCACCAAGGCCCTCTGAACACTTTTTGTTGTTTTATTTTATCTATTTGTTTTGCTTTGTTGTTCTGTATTACTGGAGGTAAGGCAAACTAAAGAGGTGCCAAACCATGAGAGGCCTTGTATGGCAAGCTGAGACTTCTAACCTATGGTTAATTGAAAGCTGCTGAATAGTTTTGTACAAGGTGGTGATGTTAGATTCATTCACTTTTAAGTCATGGTAGTGGCAGTATGGAGGATGAACTGTCAGGTCAAATAAGACTGGTGTCAAGGAAAACCAAAAAGAAGACTCATACAGTGATCAGGTGGAGAACAGTAAGAACCAGTGGTGGTAGGAGTTCATTCCATTCATTATTGAACTTAGATATTCAGCATGTAAGAATTGCAGGTCTTATGTATGCCTGGCATTATGCTAGATAAAATTAATATAAGAAAAGCCAAGCCCTGTCCTCATTGAACTTAAGGGGTACTAAACAGGCATTGGAAATATATAGGTTACAGAATCAGTGAGAACTTTCTGGATGTAAAGAACAGTATGGTCAGGAACTTAAAGCATGAAGTGGCCTGTGGATTTCTATTTCAAAGACAGGTAAATTGGCTGGAACTCTAACCCTAGAGGAGAAAATGAGGCAGGAGAGGCAGGCAAAGGCCAGATCATATACGATTCTGTAGGTCATACGCACATACCAATTTGTATCCCACAAACAGTGGTAAGATGTGCAAGATGGGTTTAAACTATAGCATAACTTAATTAGATTTAGGGTTTCAAAAATCCACTGTAAGCACACTAAAAGAATATTAGAAGTGGGGTGATCACTTGGGGGGGTACTGAAGAAATCAAGAGGTGAGATTACAGTGGATTTGGTTTTGCGATGTTAAACAGAAGATACAGGAAGTAGAGAGCTTTATGATACATGGTGAGGTCTGAGAAGATGGAAATATGGCAGAAAGACTTGAGATGTCATATCCTAAGTTCTTTTTAAAAATCCTGATTAAAACAAAACCACCTTGTCAAGAAAGTAGATACAGCCTTTCCAGAACTTTAAAAAATTTCTGGAGGACATGACTTTATAGTACACACTTTAAATTCCATTGTTTAGCTGTGCTGAAAGGCACAAAACAATCTGGATTTTGGCAAGGAGACCTAGTGGAATCTAGTAAATGGAAATTATAGGATATTATAAAGAATCTAATAATTGAAAAAGAACTGAGAAAGTGGCATGAGAGCACAGAAGGGAAAAAGGAGAGTTGGTTACCTAGAAAACTAAGATGGTAACACCAGGCAGTGTTACTTACTTGGATTTCCAAAATGTTTGGTGCGATTATGAGCACAAAAAAGATTTGTTGTTGCTGTTATGGTTTCTTAGCTTCTGCACATTGTACTTTTTCTTTTTAAAAGTTAGATCTGGATGTTTGCCATTCACTTTTAAGTAGTGTATAGAAAGGAAAAATCTGAAAGGAGCCCACAGATAATAGATTTATCTTTAAAACTATTCTAATTGCTCATGTAAAATTTTGGTTATGACCCATTTTCTTAATTTGTTGAATTTTGTACAGGATATTTCAGATCATGTGCAGGTTGATTAATGATACTCCAATGTTACAAATTATTTTGTCATGGTAAATCATATTTTACGAATTACATTTTTTAATGAAAATATTTTAAATTAATATTTAAAATATCTTCTAGTCTGACACAAAAGTACGCATTTCTCTCTTCACAGAAATTTTCTGGTTTAAAGATGGAGAGGAAGTGTCAGTAATAGTAGTAGCAGGGATATGTTATTACACATTCAAAGTATGACACCAATCTGTGATAGCTATGGTAACTAAAGCGAGAAAAAAACACCTAAAAGTGTAATCGTACTAAGAAAAAAAATCAATAATCACTGCTTCTGTGTTTAGAGAAACCTTAATTCTAGAAAAAGTGATATGTAACAGTCTGATAATCTGTATCTCAGGGCACACATTTAAAACCAACTTTGTTTATGAATAAGAACAGGCACAGGAGGAAAAGCTCTGTGGCACTGCATCTAGATTCATGTACTATATATTTTACTCTTTACATAGCATTCTTGAAACAGGAAGCAAACCGAGCTCCCCTCCCCCATGTCTCAGCAAGAGCATGCTCCATAACAATAGTTCAAAGGAAAGCTCTATTCTGCAGTTGCACTGATTGTTCTGTCAGCTGACCTCTGCAGAAGGGAATTGCTAACCGCTGCCTTGCTCCTTAGCTGACAAATGAATGATCGCAGCTCCATCTATTTTCACTATGGCTGCCTCTAGCCCAGGTGCTCAGACAGAGAGCCTGGTGTGACATCTTAGATCAAGATGAATTGGCACAAACTCCTGATCCAAGATTGTTTTATACCATTTAATTTAGTTTCTTCCCCTGCTTGGATGAGCACAGCTCTGGTTATGGATTTCTATTCTAATGTACTGAAGCAGGCCCTGAAAGAAGCCAATGAAGCAGCTGCTGGAGCAAGGGACTGCAGGGATACTGATCAATAGGCAAGGCATTGACCCCAGCCGTTCAGCCTCTGCAACGGCCACTGCTTGAAGCGGGAGGGGGCACAGAAGCACACATGGGCTGCTTCCAGTAGGAAATTAAACAACAGGGGCATTTGGTGAGCTCCGCCTCCATCCCTGGTCCCCCACCTTCTCTATGTTTCTTTTGTTTAATTGCCTCAATTTTGTCTTAACTCCCACTCCTGGGGAAGGAATTAAGACTTCAGGGAAGTTTTAATACTGTATTTCAGTCATCTGTAAATTTTATTCCTAAGCTAATAGAAAGAATAGTAACAGGTGCCCTCTGCTAAGTGGCCAAAATATGAAATCTTAATTAGTTGTCAAGTACATCACTTGGTGTAAAGTTTGGTATGTACATAGGCACATAAGAACAACGTCCAACTGGCAATTAACACTACTGATGCTGAATTTCTACAGTATGTAATTTTTATCAGGATTCAGATCTAAAAAGATGATAGCCCTTTGTTAATAAGAAAATAGATTAAAAAAGAAGGAAAAAAGGAGTCCCTAAAGGAGACATTGACTGATTAGTGATTCTCTAAGGCAGAGATGTCCATCCCTGCTACTGTTCTAAAAATAACATGGCAATTTCTCATTTCTACAGTTTTTCAAATTTGGAAATATCTTTAAATGATTGGTTTGCCTGTATCTTCTGTTAAATAATAGAAGAAATAAGTAATTAGTTGCAATGTTATCCTACAAATAGAATGACAACCAAATGAAAGATGTTGAGATATTAAAAATAATTCTGTGAAAGTAAACCTTTTTACAGTTTCATTTGTCTCATGAAAATTTGGTATTTTTTTTTCACAGAGACATGCCTCCATTTAATCATGCTAAGGGATGACATGGAGATCCATTTTCTTGACAGGACGGTTGATCACCCTATCACAGTAAGAAAATTGATACCTTCAACTAGCCCTGTGTGGAAAACAGAAGCTACATGTGATGGTAAAGGACATAAATATTCTACATTTTAAGTTGCAAACAGAATACATGTTCTGTGTGAAAATGATATGTGGTCTCATTATTCGGTTACTTACAACAAAATATGAGGCTTTAATTTTGATTAAAACAACCATTTACTTCATACAGTGTTCTTCAAAAGTACATAATTGTCTTCAGATTTAGCATAATTGACTCTAGATTTATACAAACAGGAGTAAACACTTTACTTACAGCTTAACTAGAATACAGGTAAAATATTTGAGAAGTTTAAGCTATTTAAAGGGCTACGAGATATTGATTACTTCATTTAAAAAGCAGTCAGAGAGTGCAACCAAGAGGTCAAGATAAATTTAACAGTTTGAAGCACTTTACTAAATAACTCTAAAGATCATGTTAATTGGCTTTGTGCAGTTCTAGGGTAAAATTAATTTTATCCTAGCTTACAATAAAAGGATTAAAAGACATATTAAGTTCTTTGGTTTTAACTGGAATAGGAATCAATGGATTTGAATTAAGGCTAAAGGCGGTTTTATGAGAGATGGACTACTAGCAGATACTTTATATGTGCTATTAGCCATATATTGATGGGGCTCTATTATTGCATTAGATATTAAAACCCTGGATAAGTAGATACCACCAATTTACTACTCTGAGAATACACACGTTCAGAACTTTGCTTTGACCTGAAAAAACTGTTTTCAAACATTCAATTCCTTATTTAGAAATGAATGTCATAATACTCGTTACAGCTGACTTATATATATAAGTAAATTTCTAGTAAAAATTAAAATATGATTGCATTCAATCAGAACTCCCTTCAGGATAATTATATTGAAAACAAAAACTAAAATAAACATATCATTAGAATTTTTTTTAAACCAGCATATGAAGATTTGGGTTAACATAACAACTATATGCCAGAAATTTCTGGCACAAGATGGAGTCCAAATGACATTCACAAGGATAAAAATAGTTTCTAAACTTGGTATCAATTGCAATATACCCTAAAACACTCTTTAAACGATCAGAAATGTCTATTTGTCCATGATAAATAAAATTAAACAATAAAAGTTTTCTTTACTTTTAAATATTTAATAAAATGTTTGAGAATCATATGTATATAGAGAGAAATTGGTTTTACTATTTGCTGCCTGGCAAAGTGAAAAATACAATTTGCATTTAATAAGACATAATTTTAAAAACAGACAGCCATGACTTTGTAAGACTTTACATAACTGATTAGAAAAACAGTGAGCTCCAAGATCTCGCAGCAGAAAACTAAATGGCAACATGTAGAGACTAAAATACTTTGGATTAAGCTAGAAAATACTTTCTATTATGGTTCTTTACAGTCTTGTTTCATTTGCAATAAAGTGTATTTGCTAATATTAGATTTTGATTAATTATTAAAGAGCAAGAGCAAACTTAGTAAAGTGAAATGTTAATATTGACAATCTGGAGGACAAGTAAACTTTCAGAACTAAGACATTATTTCCTATGCACAATGTCTGCACGCAGAATAAATAGTCTAAGCACATCATTCAAAGCCCTACAAATGTTAGTCAATAAAGCAACAAAATATTTATTTCTGTTTTCAGGCCAGTAAAATATTCTTCTAAAATTTTCATTTATTTATCTTTTCTCACTCCCGAGGATATTTTAAATGTGATACGGCATTATCAGCACACACTGACTATAAAAAGCATATACAAAATTGTATACTGTACTGAGATTAAAACAATACATAATAGTGAAAAGTGTCCAATCATAATGTATTTCAAACTAGATCTTCAAAAGTGAGTTAAATTCAAATTGTCCTTAGATGTACTTTAATCAAAATAACTTAACTTTTCTCCTGACCACCCAAATTGAGGCGGGACATGGTGGCTCACACCTGTAATCCCAGCACTTTGGAGGGTGAGGCAGAAGGATTGCTTGAGCCCAGGAGTTCAAGACCAGCCAGGGCAACAGAGCAAGACCCCATCTCTAAGTTAATTAATTAAATTGATATACCTGGTTGCCTAATGGAATATTAACACTTTATTTTTAAGATCTATCTTCTTAAGTATCATTGTATGCTGGTAATCAAATATGTTAAATCTATATTTACGTACACATAAATACATTACATGTACGTAATTATACAATAACACATAAGTATACAGCATTCTTAGTGAAGGTACTAAGACGTAATACCTAAGGAAGCTAGAACTACACTTTTGTGATTTTTTTAAAACATGTTTTAAAATCATAATGAGAAAAATGTTGGCCCTCAGTGGAGTTTTCACAGTGTAAATAAATTGTTTCCATATATGTATGGCTCCAACATTTTCCATACCTACTTGCTGTTCTTAGGTTGCTTAAAGTAGGGATAAAGTATAATGCCATAAAAATCTCAAATTTTACCAGATATATAACAATAGTCTTTCAAAAAAGCTTGCTAACAATAGGGAAAAAAACCTTAAAAATAAACAAAAATCTTTTAATATTCATTTTTGAAACCGCTTGGCTTTAAAAGAATTTAAAATGCTACATAAGTCACCCAATGTACCCCAGGTCTTTGAAGTCAAATACCTCAAAGATAAATGTATATATGGGAACACATAAAGACATAGATTGGTGACAGTCCAGGTTGGGAGACAGGACTCACGATCTCACTGTCCTGGATGCGAATCCAGGTTTAATAGGCTCATGTGGAGTCGTATGTTGTGGCTCCATGCCATTGTAAATGTATGTAATTAAGTTAGTTTTTCTAAACCAATGTGTTTATATGAATATTACATATTATTTTCATTTGTTGGCATAACTTAGAGCTCTGCAATTTCTATAAAATGTGGCAAATAAATTTTAGTGATATAAAAAAATAAAATTGTACATGGTTATATGGCCAACATGTAAATTTCTAACTGTGCACCTGAAGTAAATAAAATAAAGTGTGCAAGTTTTCTGTGTCTTCTTCTTTGCCTCCTAACGAGAAACTGAACTGATTAAAAATGGCTGCCATAGGGCACTTCAACATTTACTTTCAAATTTTCACATTATCAAAGCTAGTGTGTGTACAGCTAATATTATGTTAGCAGCAGCAGATTTTCCCCCACTGTATTAAACACATACTTTAGTTGCTTTGTGACACATCTGCCAATGTTTTCCTCACATCTACTGATAGAACATATGAAATTTGCTTCCCAAATCTAAGATGCTTTCACTGCTGTTGTTGCTCCTGCATTATGTCCCCCTCACTTGAAAACTGAAGTAAACAAACATGCTATTAATTTGTATGTATGCACGATAGCCCCCTGCTGGAACACCATAGGTTCTGCAAATGCATATTTCTTTCTGTGGATGCTGATTAAGACATTTTGAAATAATGCCTCTTGTATACACATGTATTACATGTGTGTGCATTTGACAAAATAGACAAAGCTATTTCCCAGTAAATCAGATAAATGCAAAATATATGACCATTCTAAAATGATTTTCTTTTTCAAAGAAATAATATAATCACTCCTCTGTAGGTGTCTCAGTTATTTTGATAATTATCAATCTTAAGCTTTGAGGGCAATTTGCATGTTTTTCAAGTAATTCATGTAACAATTTCTTATTTTTCACAAAGATTCTGTCCTATACCTATTTTCTCACCATCCGATCATAATATATTTCTTTTTATTCTCTACCTGAATATCAAGTTAATTTTTTCCTTTGCCTTTACTATTAGTGCAAACATTCTCAGTTTGAGAGGAAATTGAGATTTTAGTAATCACAAGTATCTAAGATATTTAAGTAATCAAAAGTCTTGTAGATAAAAACTACTCCAAAAATGTTCAATTTTTGTTTCAACTGACCTTTCAAAGATGAATCTGATAAACATGCCAAATTTTAAAAACTACAAATTGTAACACTGAGACCATTATTCACATTTTCATGAGAAAAGGAGTATTTCAGAAACACAGTGGTTAGTGGCTTGTAAAATTATACTAATCTGAAAACACAGCAAATCATTCTCATATATATTTTCTCATACAGTTACTACTTAGAAAAAAGACAACTCTGGCAATGAGATTTACTTATAAAAATAGTGGAGTAGACATGGTACGTTTCTGTAAAAGATCAAATGGAAAACATAAGACAACATTTGGTGGACTGATAGAAAACCTCCTATGAAGATTTTATATCTGTGCATGACAGCACAGTAAGAAATAAATAAACCTAAGGTGATATTTATCTATAAAATGACAAAACATTTATTGGATTTGCTTGAAAAATATTTTCACCTAGGTAATTATCAACTCAGTGATATAAAACTGAGATGAAAAGGGCTTGCTCTACTTCTGAGCTATTAACAAGTACATCTGTTCATTTATAAAAAGTAACTGTAGTATTCATTTCTTTGAATTATATCGCAATAATGAAACAATGACATGTGACTAAAAGTTACCATTTTTTAAAGGTTCATTTGGAATAAATTATCAAAAGGATCTCTAGCTTTGAAAAATGATCACCTTATTTTATTTTTTCTTCAGCTTTCTTTACTGTAAGTAAAAATAAAGGAGCATAGTTGGGGCAATATAGTATCTTGGAAATTAATGTCCATGCCTTTGTGGTAACTGCAGATCTTGGAAAAATTGTAGTGGTAAAGCCCAGAGCAAAGTTTTAAAGACTTTAATTACCCAGTCCACGAGTAGCAGGCATACATTAGATTTTATCTTTTTATTCTATTTAAGTAAACTGAATTATTGAAGCTTGATAAAGATTAACATATTGAACAACTTATTAAGAAGAAATTTAAAGAAGACACAAAAAATTTAAAAGAAAAATAAAATAAGACAAAGAAATAGGTCAAAAACAATTTTGAATTTTAATTCACTAATCACATTAATAAATCAAGAAAGCAAATCTTTAAGGAAGAAAAAGACAAATAAGCAAAAGCAACTAAGCATTTACGCTAAAAGTTTAAAAGCCACAGACAAAGTAAATCATAGCCTCAGGCTGTTAGGTATACATTGATTGTTAGTCCACAAATTTTTTAGAAAGTTGTCTAACAACAGCCAAAGAAATGCGCATATTGGTAAGTGGCTTATGCCAATTTTCCCAGAGATTTCTAAGCAGCATCAGAGAACTTGAAGAACTAAAAAGCCTGAATTGCTATTAGACAGCTACACACAATTTTCATTTCTGATCTTGTTACACGTTTTGAGTTTTCATTATTTTTAAGCTACATGTAGAGAAATGAATTATGTGCCTATAAAATTATTTCAGATGATTTTAAAATTATTTTACATCTTCTCATTTTATGAGGGAGATAACCAGTCTATCAAATTAATTCTAGTTGTTATTTGGCAATTTTTTCCTACAGACCTTTTTTCCATATACATAATTTCTTTTACTATATATCTTTTTACAAATGAGCATAGATATTAAAATTTACTAATATTATTTACTATAACTACTTTATAAGATTTCCTATTACCTAGTTAATTTCATTTAAAATTTGGGTTTGAGTTGCCCCTTTTGCAAATATCAAACTGAAACTGCTTTCAGACCTTGAATTGTTGCACAATTATTCCAATGTTTAACTTAGCACATATGCCTACAGATACTAAATATCTAAAATTCACTCATGTATTACAACTATGGATTTGGAAAGGCTACCACTCCTGAAATAAACATTAAGAGAAAACTTTAATGTTTGCCTATATATGTATGTAGTCAGATACTCAGGTTTGTAAGATGCCATGCCATTTTTCAAAACTAGTTTTAAAACAATCTGTTTCTGCTATATGATACAACATAATCATTTTCTCAAAATTCTCCCTACCTATCTGCCTCCCAATGATTTGAATCATTAGGTTACTTTGGAACTGTGAAGACTAATCTCTTAATTAGTCTTTTATTAACACAGAAATAACAGCATATATAAAAACTTAGAAAACATATGTATTGATGTTGGGTAAACATACATACTCAGGATGGCTCTTACTGTACTTAAACTTCTCTGAGACTTTTAAAAAAATTTTAGGCTCGGTGTGGTGACTCATACCCGTTAACCCCAGCACTCTGGGAGGCCGAGACAGTCAGGTGGATTTTGAGCTCACGAGTTCAAATCTAGCCTAGGCAAATGGTGAAACCCATCTCTACTAAAAATACAAAAGAAAAAAAATTTAGTCAAGTGCTTGTAGTCCCAGCTACTAAAGAGGCTGAGATGAGAATCGCTTGAGCCCAGGGGGCGGAGGTTGCAGTGAGCTGATACTGTGCCACTGCACTGCAGCCTGGGTGACAGATTGAGACCCTGTCTCATAAATAAATAAAGTTGATACAGAATAGATGTACATATTTTCAGGATATATGTGATAATTTAATACATCCATGTAATTTGTAAAGATCAAATAAGCATAACTGGGATATTCATCATCTTAAATATTTGTCTTTTCTTTATGGTAGAAACGTTCAAATTATTCTCTTCTAGTTATTTCAAAATACACAACAGGCTCTGAGACTTTCTGGCTGGACAAAAAAAAAGGGACATAAAGTCAAGAGGAGATAAACTTTACTGAGAACTTCTACCACCACTGCCATAAAACCACCAGTATCAGTATCACAGATTGCCATATGACGGCTCAACACTGACAAAAATAATCCAAAGCAAGAACTTAATATGTGCTTATAATTTCTCTGAAACATAACTTCTCTTATTAGCAAAGGAAAAAATAAATAGTTTAATGCTTAATCCACTGTTTCTGATTTCTAAAAATACTTAATAGTATTTACTTAAGGAAAAAAATCTTTCAAAATATGTGAAAGATAAAAAGGACCCCAGCTTAAAAACATCAACAAAAAAGTGAAGTTTTATTTTTTACTTAAGGTGCTTCATATATCTACTAATACTATATTTGTTATAATGACATAATTATATGCCTACTACAATCAATTTCCATATTCTTTTTAAAAAAAAACACAAAACCCTTTTGATCTAAAAAAAAAAAACAAAAAACATATCAGAAGCTGAGCATGTAAAGCATCTCTTAGGTCCAAGATAAGATGACTGGGTGAATTTTAAAATTTTAGACAAAAAAAGGATATCATAGAGCTGCTCTTCTAATCAGACCAACAGATATTTTATAGATAGAAAAAGTTAAGTAGGTGAGGTGTATAAGTCACAAAGTGAAGGGCACAAACAGATCTGGCATTTCTGGCAACATCATTTTGGATGGATTGCCAGAATCTTCACTGGCCTATAACTGCAGTGTTTATTACACAGAAATTAGTTAACATTTGATACCTACTCCAACATGAATCTCTATTATGTATCTTCAAATCTTATACAGTTTTAAATGTTCCTTTAAAAATAATAAGCAAGCAAAATTTATAATTAAAAAAGTCTTTAAAAAAGTTTTGGACTATAGTATCTAATGTTATATATATTTACTACAGAGTTAGCTTAAAAAATGTAGAAAATTCCGGAGGAGACATTCTATCAAGCATATGAAATAATTATATTAAATTGTTTTATTGTTTTTATATAGAAGACACATATGAAATACTGAAACATACCAAAAACAAAGTACTGAGCATAAATGCATTACTATACAGAAACCAAATACTTAAGATTTAACAGAATGATGAAATCGGCATGCCTTCCACAGAAACATCAACCATTTCTACAGAAGAAAAATTTTGCCAATTATATATGGTCAATAACACTAATTCAAAATATGAATTTAAATATTTATTTTGCTACATAAATCTTCCTGTAAATGTTTACTATAAACATGCATGTGCAAATATTTTCCTAAGTCACATACTGTACCCCACAATATTGCAAATAAATTCATAATCATTTCTGGTTTACTATGTAACATCAAATAATAGCTAAGAATCAACATAAGGGTTAAGACAATCATTTTCCACTGCATACTAGTGCTATTCTAAGCCAATAGTGTGTTTAAATCCACACCAATGAAATCAATACAGCACTGTTCTATTCAAGGTGAGACCAAATAAACCTGTCTGAAGCTTTGAGAAATAGGCTTTGCAGTACACTTTGAGTGCTAAATGCCTTTCAGTCCAGAGATCTGTCATTAAATAATCATTAGCCATCATTCACTCTTCCTAAAAAGCTTAACATCTAAACTTGTTCAGCATCCGCTAAAGCATTAGTATAGACTACCAAGTAAGTACTCATTAGCACTTAGAGATGTTTCAACCACTCTGTTTTACCATGCATCATCTTTTCAAAAAAGACTGCAAAATATTAATATATATTTACCGTTGGATTAGAGTGCAATGAATACAAATGATTAGTAAAAAGGATATCAATGTAATGATCGGTCTTGTTTGGATAACACGGCATAACCTCACAGAGCTACAATCAACTCTTTCCTGGTTAATCTATCCAAATAAAACCCAATGTCTTTCCTCCCACTGAGTATCATATATTATTCAGCACCACATATATGTCAAATGAAATTAAGTTAATAATGATAGAGAATTCATCAGGAGGCAATCTGGGCTTTAATCTGAAATGTATTTTAAAATAATGCTTCCTTTATCAATGCTATTCATATCTCAATTTCAATATATGATCATCTAAATTGCTAAATATCTACTATAATGGACTCTGACCTATTTTAGATATCATGAATTAGAGAGACAAAACTGAGATACATTTTTCCTCTATTATCTGAGAGGTTAAATAAATAACAAGAATGATCTTTATTTAGTAATGTTATTAGATGAAATGTATAAATTTGATGGTCAAGGTAATTTTCTTTGTACTGATAAGAAGTTAATTTTTTGTATGCTATTATACTAATCCTCTGTTTCAAGTTAATGTTAATTAAAATGTCATTTTTGCAAGACATTAATTTGTTCATTTTTAAAAGCTCAAATAAAAATATATGACCAGTTATTTATGATCTCATTTACAGTTTTATAACATCACTTTCAATTTATTTAATACAAATTTCAACCTAAGAGAGAGTGATGACATTAAACATTTCATTTAACCAGATATTTGATCTTTTCCCAGAAGTATTTAGTACCTAAATACAAAATAAAAGTATTATTTTAGCTATTAGGTACTTTAAATACATGTTGTGTAAATATAACCTATAATATTTAGAAATGTTCTAGTATTCTAAATATTCTAAGTCCATTTTATCTATGACTTTTTCATTTTTCTCTCAAGATCACAACATAAAGTTTCAATTGCTAAGATATGAGCAAGTAAAATACTACTAAGATAGCTTGGTAAATGTAGTATCACAATATTATATTTCAACTTATAAAACATTTTAAGCCTCAGAAATTAAAGAAGGTAATATTATATAAAACCAAAACTCATCACAAATCATTTTATTGGTCAAGTTGTCTTTTACATGCAGTGTTGAGATTTTTGGAACTCTTTCAATACGTTACAAGATATAAAACGGCTATTTTCACTTGTTAAGGTGCATCAATAGGTACACTGAACTGATCAAACAGCAAACTAAAAACAAAGTACCAATTTAGTCATTATGAAAAGGTCAAACTTCTTTAGAAAAATTCAAGAAAAATAATAAAGCCAAAAGTCATCTATTAATACTTGTATAGTATGCAGATAAGAGAAAAAGGTAATATCCAAAGTCAGCTAGAAGAATGTAAATATAAATTAGTTACTTTCTTAGAAAAGCCCCGTTTCTCAAAATTTTGTACTTTTGCAATAAACAAAAATATGATGTTTACAATTATAATAATTTGCCAGAAAATGTAACACTGTTGCAAAAATATATAATTTACAAAATTAGTACCACTGAACCTGATTATGGTCTGCCTTCTTGTAGAGGTATATTCTTTCAAAGCCTTAGTAAAGTCTCATTTCTTAATCTATAAAACAGTGCTGGTAAAGTGTTTTATCTCTCTCAAATTCTGTACCAAGAATCTCACATTGCTAATCCCTTCCTGATTACAGAATCAATATTTATAACACCTTCTTAAATTTTCAGAAATGTTTGCTTCTTTATTATTACAATCATTTAATTTAAAACAAAACTGATTTATTATCCCTACAATTCAATTTAGCCTCTTTTTTAAAGGTAAAAATAAGAAAAGGAATTTTATTTGTCCTCTCTAACACTACAATTGTTTTGTATATACTAAACAACTATGTTATAAAAAAGAAACAAAATGTTGTTTTCAAATAATTCATGCCTTTAAAGATATGTTAGATTAACTGTTAATACAAAAACATGATCAATAAAAGCAATTCATTCTTGACTCTCAAATCTCACTGGGTATAGGTGAAACTTCAATAAAACCGGTACTCTTCTGGATTTTACATTTTGAAGCATGATTACTATTTTATTGAAAAGTATATAGGAGTAACACACGATTCTAAATTACAGTCATTTTGAAACTAAGTTGCAACTTATCCTGATTCTTTATGAACAGACTAGATTTTTATTGGAAATCAATTGGAAGGCAGGTAAAATTAGATAGCCATGGTTACCAGAATATCAATAAGAGATACAGCAATATCCAATTCCAAGCCTTACGCTAAAACAAAAAGTAAAAAATACGAAAATAAAGCTACATCCTCTGCATGCATATGTTTAAGATGCAGACTATATTTTCAGTGCCATTATATATAATCAGAAATATGCAATAATGAAAAAACATTTTCATTATTGTTAGTTATCAAGATTATTATTGAAACAGGGTTTTATATTTTTCACTTGCAGGTTCTAAAAACTAAAACAACTAGACCTAAATGTAAGGCTATAAAACAGGCAATTTAAGCTTTATCACATTTCAAATATTTTTTTAATATAGGCAATGTTATATATATAAGAAAAACTTTTTAAAATGTAGTGAGTATGCTATGTTGAATTTAAGTGT